TTCAGGTAAAAGAGCATGTGGAATATGTTGAGGATCTATATTGCAGCTTTTGTTGGGAAACTTGACTGGCAGTGCTAAACAGTGTGAGACTACCAATACTGGTCTCCTCCAGCTGTACTCTTTGAGCAATAATGCTCCAGTTTCCTCTGTCGTCCTGGGCAGCTGTCAGAGTCGCTTCGCCAGCTCCAGGTTGAAAGGGATCAGTATGTGGAGAAGCTGAAAGAGGAGGGCAGTATCTGGCAGCAGCGCGTACAGCAGCTGTCTGAGCAGGTGAAAACAGCAACATTTTTTCTGGTGTATGTGGAGGTGGTGGTGTTAATGATACTGAGGAGCTGGGAAAGCTGACTTTACTGGTTTGACTTCTCCCTTTCTGGAACCAAATAGATTCATACACTGATGGAGGAAAGGGAGAAGAATGTGACCCAGATTCAAGAACTGGAAGCCAGTGTTGCTGAGCTGCTAAGCAAGTCAGGTAGGCTTAGTCAGAGCTTGGCATTGTGGGGCACTAACAGGCTGAAGCAAGGCTTCCATCCCATTATGTAGAACTTTTGCATAGCAGGAGCAATAGGTTTGGAATCCCCAAACTGGAAGGACTAGTAAGAAACTTATTGGCCTAGTGTCTGTCAAGCAAGACCTTTCAAACCATCACCCAGCCATCTCTGTTTGGTTTGATCCACTTGACCAAACCTCCAGCTCCCATGGTCCAGTGACGAGGAAAGAGACCTCTGGTTCATTTAGGCTGTTCCTAACACCCAGCTAGGTGGAGAAAAGCTTCTGAGTGGGTAACCGAGGGAGCTAGCAGCACACCACCGCAAGCTGTGGCCTTTCTCCTCTCATTCTGGAATGCATTAACAGGAGTGTTGTGAGCAAGACCCGAGAAGTCATTCTTCTGCTCTACTGTGCACTGATTAGGCCTCATTTGGAGTATTGTGTCCAGTTCTGGGCACCACATTTCAAGAAGGATGTGGAGAAATTGGAGAAGGTCTAGAGAAGAGCAACAAAAATTATTAAAGCTCTAAAAACCATGAGCTATGAGGCAAAGCTGAAGGAATTGGGCTTGTTTAATTTGGAAGAGAGAAGACTGAGAGGGGACATGCTAGCTGATTTCAAGTATCTAAAATGGTGTCACAGGGAGGAGGGGGGGGAAATTGTTCTCTTTGGCCTCTGAGGATAGGACAAGAAGCAGTGGGCTTACAAGGGAGGTTTAGGTTGGACGTTAGGAAAAACTTTTTACCTGTCAGGGTGGTTAAGCACTAGAATAAATTGCCTAGGAAGTTTGTGGAATCCCCATCACTGGAGATATTTAAGAGCAGGTTGGATAGACATCTATCAGGGATGACCTACTTGGTGCTGCCATGAGGGCAGGCAACTGGACTTGATGATCACTCAAGTTCCCTTCCAGTTCTAGTGTTCTATGATTCTTCTCTTCCTAGGAACCATCTGCTCCCAGAGGGAGAAGGGTTGAATAGTGCTGTCAGTGACACCCCCGCTAGATGGAGGAGTTGAATGTTGTGTTGGCTGAGGGAAGGGTTTTGTACTTCTAACCTATTGTCAGTGGTGCAGCCCTCTGACCCAGCTGATTGTGATTCCATTTCCTCAGCAGCTAAGCTTAATGACAGTGAGCCTGCTGTGCCAGAAGGGCCTACGGAGGCTGAGCTGAGCCTGCAGGAAGCGGTCCAGAGGCTGCAGCAAGAGAAGGAAGAGCTTCATGGGCAATACCAGGCCCAGGTACGGGATAACGAGCAGTTGAGCCACCTCAACCAGGAGCAGGAGGAGCGGCTGTTGGAGCTTGAGAAGACTGTTCAGCGCTATAGTGAGGAGTCTGTGGACAGACAGCAGATCCTGGAGAACATGCAGAGTGACAAGGCCACCATCAGCCGAGCTCTCAGCCAAAATCGGGAGCTAAAGGAGCAGCTGGCTGAGCTGCAGAATGGGTTTGTCAAACTGGTATGTCTCTCTTGGACGTGTAGTCTTTGAACTACTGGGTACAGCATTGAGTGACGCTAACCTCCTGGCAGAAGCATTGCCCTTATCTTGCTCTTTGGTGTTTTGTTGTTGCAGCTCTAGTATTAGACCTTAATGTGATGGCAGATCCCCTGCAATGTTTCTCACTCCCTAGTGAGCTTCTGGGGGAGTCACCCAATAGCTCTGCTTGTCCTAAGGGAGTTGTCTTCTTTCCTTCCCTTGTACCTCCACCCCAACTCCACTGCTTTCTCTACTTTGGTGTTTCTCCTGGCTCTATGGCTTTAATGGGCCAGTTGTTTGTCCCCATATTTGCATGCCTCTCACCCATGAGGAGGTTCTTCCCAGCTTCTTTCACCTCTTCCATTGCTGTCAGCTCCCCAGAATCTTCTTCTGGATTCTGCAGTCTTTGACCTCCATGTCCTTGTATTCTCCCTCTAGCTACCTGCTCTCTTCAGTCCATTCTGAACTCCTCCTTTTGTCTCCTCACTTCCTTCACTTTCACTCCCCAAGCACAAGGGGGCACAAGAGGCGGTGTCATGTGCCAAAAATGGCACCACCTCTCTTCTGAGCCCCATGCTGTTGTTCCCTCACTGTCTTGGTCAAGCTCTTATCCCTGTTTTGTGTTCCTCTGTCTGAATTGGATTGACTGTTCAGGGCAGGGTTCTTGGGCCAAATACAGCAATTCCCTTCTGTTTTAAAGAGAACCGTACCATTTTATGCTATCCATTGACTGGATTTGTCAAAAGCTATGTACGTTTATGGTACTTGATGATTTGGGGCAGTTTCCTGATGTGATGTAGTGGGGGTGCTGTCTGCTCTGTAACCTGGGGTCCCCCTGTGCTGTGATGTGGGATTCCCACTGACTCATCCAAATGTGTACTAACCCAGACCCCGAGGAGGTAACAGGGGATTCCCAGGGGGAGAGACAAAGGGAGAGAGGCAGAGGCTTGGGAGGGGGAGAGAAGTTGCTGTTTGGAAAACATGAAGGGAACAGCCTGAGCTCAGGGGTTAGGGGTGATGGACCCCTAACCCAAGGGGTCTGAGGCATCCTGGCTCTGGCTTCTGAAACCACATCATGTCTAGGCTGTGCTGTACCCTGAAGAAGCAATAAACCCTCTATTCTACTGGCTGGTGGAATCTGTTCTTGCTGCTACGGGGTGCAGGATTTGGGGGGAACCCTGACTCGGTGTCACATCTGATACAAGGGCTCTGCATCATTTCAGACAAATGAGAACATGGAGGTGGCAAGCGCCTTACAGTCGGAGCAGCATGTGAAGAAGGAATTGGCCAAGAAGATTGGTCAGCTACAGGAGAAGCTGGCTGAGCTCAAAGAGACGGTAATGTACTGCAGTGCAGCAGCAAGGTGAACTAGGTTTCAGGTTCTGAAGTAGGAAAGGCTTTGATGTAAAGGTGGAGATTGTTCATTTTCACACCAGACAGGGAGCCAGTCTTTGCCATGTACCTTATCTGCATCCTGTTGTGGATGTCTGGCATTTTGGGCTAGTCACAGTTACGGGGAAGTGCTCTTCTGGCTCATTCAAGGGGTGATACTGGTAATTGTTACCTAGCTGGAGCAAGAAACGATCTGGTGCTAACTGCCACGTTTTACAGGAGAATCAGAGGCTGCCTTATTTCCCTTGTGAAAAGTAGGGTGGTGTTGTATGGTTTGTGCTCTGAGAAGATGAGGCTGTATAGGGGAATATAGCATCTTATCTTCAACAGTGTGTAGAGCTAGAGCTTTTGGTGATGGGCTGATCTTACTCTGACAGGTGGAACTGAAAACGCAGGAGGCACAGAGCCTGCAGGAGCAGCGGGATCAGTACTATGGGCACTTGCAGCAGTATACTGTGGCATATCAGCATCTGGCCACGGAGAAAGAGGAGCTGCACAAACAGTACTTGCTTCAGACACAGCTCATGGATCGTCTGCAGCATGAAGAAGTGCAAGGCAAAGTGACAGTGGAGATGCACCTGAAGGAGCTGCAGCAGACCAAGGTAAAGGGATTGGCTAGTGTTGAAGGATACTGCAGGACTCTGTCGTTTTGTTGTCCTTTCTGCATTACCCAGAGTGGGTTGCAAGGCTTTCTGCATTACTGACAGGGATAATGGCTTGTGGCCAAACCATACCACATTTCTTGTTGCTGGTGAAAATATAAGTCATCTAATTTAGTTGGTGCAGGTCTCAAGTGTGTGGGGGCCATCCAACCTCTCCAATGACTTCCTGCTTTTCTTACAGGAAAGCCTGGCAGCTGTATCCAAAGAAAACAGAGAGTTGCAAGCCCAAATCAGTGAATTAGCAGCAGAGTTTGACAACAGAGCATTGCATCAAGTGGAAGGTAATGCTATTCCATCTTTAGGTGGACGCTTGAGCTGCACTAGACAGTCTAGGGCAGGGGTGGGAAACCTAAGGCCTGGGTGCTGGATGCAGTCCCCAGCTTGCCTGGATCTGGCCCCCCACCCAGCATTGAGGAGCCTGTGCTGGCACTCTAGCCCCCACCATCCTCCAGTGGGGCTGGAGCACACAATCTACTAGCCTGGGACCCCCTAGGCTCTGGTGTGCGAGGGGGATATGGATGATGTCTTTCTCCTTCTCAGCTGGGGGCCACATCAGTGAGAGTTTGATTTTGGTTTTTTTGCTTCTCACTTGTGTGTGGCCTCCGACCCAAAAAGAGTTTCCCAGCCCTGGTCTAGGGTTACAGATCCTTTGTATGCCTCTTTCCTCCTATAGGAGACGAAGTGGAGAACGAAAAGATGGTAGAAGAAACTGAATCTTCACTCATGATCCCAGAGGACTTTGAAAACCGTGAAGAAATGGTGAGTCCATAGTAAGAGGCAAGCTTCTTCCAATTACACGTAAGTGTAAAGAGGGCAAGTCTCACTCCACTAGCAGGGAGACTGTGCATATAATTGTCATCTGCCAATGCAATGAGCATGCATGCACATACAGAGTCAAGGCCTTATGTGTACTGCAGCAGGCACCCAGGATTCTGCAGCACTGTAGTGTGGCAGGCTGGAATCTATTGGTAGCCTCTCTTAAATGAGAGAGAACTCAGTAGCTCCTATCTTGTTTATTTTGAGTCCGCATCCCTTAGCTTGGGAGGCAGGTTGAGATTGGTACTGGCGCTATTTTTGTTAACATGATCATCAGTGAAAATAGAGGTTTATAAATAAATGTAAACATTTCATCTTGGGGTTCAGATTTAACCCACTGAGGATGACTGAACAGTTCCTACCTCTTGGGCTATTTATTGCTTCCATTCATTTTTATATTCTTCACATCTGGCAAGACCAAGATCATAACTCTTTTTTATAATGAAAGCTGAGGCTTTGGAGCCCAGTTCTGCAGTAAGGAGTGGATTCCACAGGAAGCTCAGCCACTGTTTAATTGCGGAATATACAGGCCCTAGTCTGGTCTCAAATTCAGATCCCAGCTTGAATGCTGACTCTCTGTAGGCCATTTTCCCCATCTGTAAATAGGGATAGCCCTTGCCTGTCTCACAGGGGTACTGTGGGTTGATTGGGTAGTAGAGCTCCATAAATAAAAAGCACAGAAGTGCAATATCTGGAATTGCCTCTTAGGTCACTTTCTTGACATCTGCCATCTCCCAAGTGGAGAAGGAAAGAGAAGAGATGAGACAGCAGCTATCGGAGCAGAAACAACAATGTAGAGGTCTCCTGCAGCAAATCGCAGCTCTGAGGCAGGAGCAGCAACATAATGTCACATTGGGTGGAGGTAAAGCTCTGTGCTGTTTGTGTAGCTGGGGGAGTGCACCAGAAAGAGCCATGCGGGATGGGGTGTGTATGCAAGAACCTCATTTGCTTCTCCCAGTGTGAATCACTTGCAGTTTTATCACTCGTTGGCAGACCCCATACACTGACTCTGCATATGTCCTTTCCAGGTTACACTACAGATACTGTCCCAGTGGAGGTTCATGAGGCTTTAAAAACTGCCATGCAGAAACTACAGGTGAGCAACTGAGCCTCCAGCTGAGCTCTGGAGCCAGGCAGCAGGTCCCATTTTTGTATAGCAGACTAAGAGTGGGTTGCAAGGGAATCAATAGCAAATCTGGTTTGTGACACAGCAGCCTCCTTTCCCAGGTTTCCTGTGAGTGGCTTATCACTTTGGTATCTAGCTTTGTATGCTCAGCATGGCCGCCAGTAGTTTAACCCTGAAGAGATAGGTGTAGGGGGCTGACTTTGGTCCTTGATTTTTTTCTGAAGCCATCGTGGTGGGGCAGGCTCCATACTGTTCTCCCCAGTGCAAAAGAGTGAGAAATAGCTTCTAGTGGCTCAGCAATCTTGAGGCCATCAGTGCCTGGGAAGTTGTGCTGTTATGATAGTAGGAAATGTAAAGGGTTCCTTATCCCTGTGATGTCACACTCTGTAGCTGTTTCTTTCTCCTCCTTTATCCACCAAATCAGTCCAGCTGACACACAGGAGATAAGTGGGGAAGAAGAACAGTATTATTTCTTCAGCACAGGCTGACCCAGGGTGCACTGTTGACTCCCTTATGTATTCCCTGTATATGTGTAGTTGTTCAAATGGTTGATGTTGGTTGTGTGTTCAGTTCCGCTTCACAGACCTGATGCATGAGAAGGCTGATCTGAAGGATCGAGTAGAGCAGCTGGAGCATCGCTGCATACAGCTGTCTGGGGAAACAGATACAATCGGTAAGATTGCCAGCGTGAGAGCAACTAGGCAACCTCTTCATGGATTCCCCAAGATGTTCTATCTCAGTGAGCTAAAATTACAGGTGCCTCTGTAATTGCTCATGGAGCCTGATCACTTAAGCCCACCAATCAGATTTCTACTGTCAGGCCTCCAGGTGTGTTAAAATTATCCTGCTGGATAAGAAGACTTCCAGTCTGGTGTCCAGATTTGCTGTCAGCTGGATTCTAAAGCCCCATAGATCGTTCACCTATTACTGTAAAGTTCAAGCAGAAAGAAGAAGCTTTATAATATTGTAACTCCTTGGTACATTGTCTCTGCCTTATGCTTTTCTCCTGTGCTCCAGGGGAGTATATTGCATTGTACCAGAGTCAGAGGGCTATCCTAAAACAGAGGCACCGGGAGAAAGAGGAGTACATCAGCCGACTGGCTCAGGATAAGGAAGAGATGAAGGTAAGGGATCCATCCTATCAGAATAGTACTTGCACAATGGTGAAAGTCCAGGAAGCACAAGTGGAACGTGTGTATGCAAAAGCTGATTTCTGCAGATGAGTAGCAGGCATCCAAAGGATGTTGTGTAAAACTCTACCTGTTTTCTGAATTCAGACCTCCAGCATGAGCTGCTGTTCAGCTGTTGGTATCTCCTGAGAAGACAGTCTCATTGTGCCAAGTTCACTACTAGTTTTGTGATGTACAGGGCATCAAACTGATTTCCAAATGCCTGAAACCATCATTGTGTGTCAAGATATCTGACCTGCTCAGGCAGGGGCCAACCCACCAATTATAAGACGCCAACTTGGAATTTTGATGAGGGAAAATGCCCTCTGCATGGTGGGTGTGGGTTAGTGTGCTTGCTGCTGAGTGCAGTTGACCTGGAAATATTGGCCAACTGTGGGGGCAGTGTGATAGAACAGGCTGTATGTACTGTCTGTGGCCACAGGGAGGACATGTTCCTTTCATGGGTTTTGCTTTACTTGCTCACTTGCTACAGATGAAGTTGTTGGAGCTTCAGGAATTAGTGATGCGTCTGGTTGGGGAGAGGAATGAGTGGTACAACAAGTATTTGGCAGCTGCTCAGAACCCAGACCTGCTAGTAAGTCAAGAAAGTGGAAGTGCCATTGCAGCTGAGAGGCACATTGAACTGAATGCTACCGATGGAGAAGGTGAGCGATATTCTGTGCAGCAGAATGGAAATAGCAACTCCTGCTTGCTGATAGGGAGCCTGGCTGCTCAGTGTTGGGATGGGAATAGTAACCTGCCTTGTCTTTGTTTTCCACAGGACTGCGAGAGGTGAGTTTAGAAGATGAGCCAGAACAGGAGGCTGCAGTTCTTCAATCCCATGTATCTAGTGATAGCAAAGGTTCCCAGCCGAGTCCAGAGGATCCCACTGCTAAGCAAATCATGCAGCTTTTGAGAGAAATCCAGAACCCTCGGGAGAGGCTGGGCTCCTTGTTGGAAAACCCCTGTATTCCTTTCTTCTATCGTGCTGACGAGAATGATGAAGTCAAGATCATGGTGGTTTAAATGGCATCAGAAACCTGACTTGCAGCAATTTTCTGAGAGCCTGTTAAGTACCCAAACTTCTTAAACTCACCTAGTATCTCAGTCCAGAACTCTGAGTCTGAATAGATTTCCTCTTTGTGGGTAAAGAGGGATTGCATCAGACAGAACTCGAGCGTCCGACCTGCTCATCTCTCCCTTTTCTCTCTTCTGTTATGTGGTACACTCTGAGTACTGACTGTGACTTGAAGTAATCATGTGAGGCAATTGGTAGTGCTGCCTCAGCCTGGCCCACATGAAAGTGGCGGGACCTCATGTCCTCTGACACAGTAACTTGCACACTTATTTCCTAGCTCTCCGATGGGACTCTGCTGCTGGCAGCCAGCTTCTCAGCAGTGATTGGCTTGTGACCATTGCACCAGTCATGATTGCTATCTGCCCATCTCCTCCCAAAATGCTCCTAAAGTAACTCATTCTGGCAACAAACTCTGGATTCTGAATGATTATTTGTATGTTTCACACCATGTATCTTAAACCTCCCATTGTTCTCTTCAGCTTGTCTCCTTCACTCCATCAGAAGCCAACCTTGCTAGTCGTAAACAGCCAAAAAGACACAGGCTGCCTGCCTAGGCAGCACTACAGAAACTTTTATTCACATTAGATAGGGGGGAAGTGGCCAGGAATTGCCTTCTGAGTCCTCTTGGGACAGATGCTTGGTTATTTGGCATAAGCTTTATGTGGTTGGTTGAGGGTGTGGTGGTAATGTAACTGCACTTTGAAGGATGACGTTTAACCTTGTTTGTCTGAAGGTTTTTATTTATTTAAAAAGGGAGAAATAAGTAAAAGCAAATCACTTAATAAATGTGCTTTGTTTTGAATTTCTGGACTTTAGAGTTATAGCTCTCTCCTGGATTCCTTCATCGCCCTGTCCCCCACCCAGGGGGCAAGGCTCACACCAGCTGAGTACATTAGGGACCTTCTGGGCTTAGTCTGTCTCTGTCCCTGTCCCCAGTAATTCCAAGACACACGCAAGAGATGGAGTTGTCACCTGGCAGCACTTCCAAGTTGCAGAACTGACTGAGGAGAAACAAGGTGGTAAACATTTGAGCTGAATGTTTTAGTGGTGAGAGAATCAGTTCCCTGAGCAAGCAGCAAAGAAAATGGAAAGTGATGAATGGAGCAACTTGCTGAAAAAGATTCTAAAAGATGGTGTGTACAGGGCTCAACCAGGTGGGTTACCGTCTCCATCTGCTGGCAGAGAGGAATAACACCAGTGTCTCAAAAGTACATATGGATTTAAAATCTAGAACTTATTGCTTGCTGACTGTCAGCTCAGCAGTCCGAGTGGCTGGTCTCTATAAGGAGAACACTCTGAAGTGTATGTGTTTTTAAGGAAACCGACTTACATAAAGATAAATTCCAGGTTGATGACTTAGAAGCACATGCTTGAGTCCCGTATGTACTATTCTGTCTTGAAAAGAAAGGCTCTGGCTAACAAAGGCTGTCCTGGTATATGACTTTTCTTAGTTAAAATTCAGCAGGTCCTTTCTATAATCAGTTCTGTCTTATTTTGAACAAGCCTTTTTTTAACCTGGTTGTTCCTCAACAAAAAGCACATTATGTTTCAGATTTTTTAAAACTAATTTAAACTTTTATTTTAGAGGGGGAAAGAGGTTCTGTGGAATAAAATCAATGAACTCCTCCAAAATGTGAACAGCTGAATGTTAGCCTGTTGGGGGAGGATAAAAACTGTTTTTAAGTCCTTTCATTTGAACAGCCCTGGTATTGACTGTCAGTGTTATGGACAGAGTGCACTGCTGGGGGCATCCCTTAGGCACTAGCAAGGCAGGCCTACAAGCTCCTGTTTGCACGAGTTTGTGTACATAGTGTATCTGTGTAAGTAACATTTTGTATATTCCTTGAAGAAAGAATATGGCCCCTTGCAGCATTTTTGCCTGCTGGGGTTGCTCAAACCTGTATTATAAAAATGATCTAACTGCAGTGGGGAAGGGTTGTGATTTAATACAGAGCAATGTTATTATCAAAAGGGGTAAATATTTATTGGGTGTTCTATTCCAGGAATGTGAAAGAAAACACTGTTAGAGAAATTTTGCATTCTATTGCAGAGGTGATTTAATCCTGTTATAAATTCTTTTCCTTCTGAATAAACTTATTCAGGCAAGCACCGACTATGCATGATTTCTGTTCACAGTACCTTGAAATTTGGCTAGGAAAACTGATAGTGAATTCTTTCTTTCTTTGTGCAAGATGGTCTGATTATAGGAAGCTCCATCTCTTACACTGACCCCCTTCTTGTTTAACCTCTGTGCCTCCATCCTTTCAGCTATAGAAAATGGTGAAAATACATCTCTGCATCAAACTGGGTGAATTTTGTATAATGCCTTACATTTTCATTTTGCTTACTGTTATTGCAGTAGCTTGTGCCACCTACAGCCTTCTAAAGTCTCAATTGCAGTTCATGTAGAGAAATTCCATGATGGACTCTGGCATATCCTGATCTCTGGATCCAAGGATATTGTCTATGTACTAGAATCCACTATGGGCTTGATCCTGCAAAGTGTAAAAGATCTGAGAAGTGTGGATGCCCTGAGCTTCAGTTGATTTCAGTGTGGACTGTAGGTATATAATAAAGTGCTAACCTTGCAAGATTGAGCCCTTTGAGCTCTTTTGACTACTGAGAGCCAATGTTCAAAAGAGACTCACCAGTTCCAAATAGGAGGCAATGTTGATATGTATGTAGGGTTGCAATTACTCTAAAATCCTATAAGCTCATAACTTAGGACCCTATTTTGCTATGGTTTGTATCAGTCTTTACCAGGGCTCGACAAACTGCGGTGAGAGCTACTCGCCAGCTCCACACCATGCATGCGCCAGACTGGCACTGCGCATGCATGCAGTGCCGGTGAATGGGGCGCACGGAGCGACCGGCTGATATCTACTCGCCATGGGCGAGTAGAAACAGTGGTTTGTCGAGCCCTGGTCTTTACTATTCAGAGAGGATCAGAGTATGGATGTGAAAGGTTAACCCACAGGGCTGAGCGAAATATGGCCCACAGGCCACATCCCAGCCCCCAGATCTGGCCGGTGGACACAGTAGGGACCCTCATGCAGGCTCCCTGCCTGCCCCATCCCCCACAAGCCAGGGCGTAGAGGGGGAGAGGCTTCATGCACCTCCAGCACTATCCCATTTGGCGGTTTCTGGCCAATGAGAGAACTGTTCTAAGAATAGGCTGCACTAGAAGCACCCCTCCCCTCAGGCTTGCAGCTGTTCAGACCCACATGCCCCCCACAGCCAGGGCAGGAATGGGACAGGCAGGGAGCCTGCCTGAGAAACCTGCTAGCTAGGAGTCGCCCAAGTAAGTCTAGCCAGAGCCTGCCTCTGACATCCCAGCCCCTGCCTCTCCCTAATTTTCTACCCCCCCTTGCACCCATACCCTACATAATTAAACCCTCTGCCCCCTCTCCTGCATCTATGCCCCCTCCCAGATCCTGCACACAATCTCCTGCCCCTGGTCACAATCGTCCTCTGCCCTAGGTTACAGCCCAAACCCCTGCACCCTCTACTATACCCTAGCCCCTGTCCCAGGTCAGAACCACCTCCATCCCATACCCCACACCTCCTCCATTAATATCATGGAAGATCGTGGCCCCTGGCCATGTTCCAAATTCTTGGATTGGTGCCCCCCTTAATGGGTAATGCTTACCAGTTCCAGTTAACCGGTGGGACTATGGCCTTACGGCGCAGCCTCTGCCCTGGCATGCCTAGGCACACTGCTAGCACTGGCTGCTCTGGCCAAGCTTTTACATCTTATAACAGAGACTTTAAAGTCTAATAGATGGCAATGGAGAAGAAAGGGAGTGGGTGGGTTGGTCAAAACCTACTTTTTAATTAGGGGGGGGAAAAAGGTCAGTTTCAGCATGTCAGCACTCAAGTCAGCTTGATACAGTTCACCCCCAAGGTGAAGACAAAGGTCACATTTTCTGAAAAGTGGTGCTAATATCAGATGTAAACTGTTTGAACAAAACTGCCAAGACCCAACCTACAGCAATTACACCAGTTTGGCTGTCTCTGAACTAACCTGGAAACAGATGTCCTGAACCAATGGACTCTGAAGGAACACACAGAGGAATGCCTGATTGCAGTCTGAGAGAAAGGGAGGTTTTCAAAAACATTGGGTAATGTTTGGAGTGACCTTACTAGTGCATAATATGGTTTCCTGGGTGGTAATAGAGGGGCCTTGTCTGGTCATGCTTCATTTACATGATACATCAGATAAAGACAGAAGTGTGATCCATCCTGCTCAACGCAAACCTTTCTATGGACCAATAGCCAACCACCCATGATGACAAAATGGGTGTTGGAGAGGGGCTGGGTGGAAGAGAGGGTGCAGGAATGGGTTGAGAGTAGAGGAGTGTCTGTGGGAGGGTGGTGTAGCCTGGGGATTCATGGTATGGGCAGGAGAGGGATGAGGGGTGCTCACCCAGCTGCTCCCAGGCACTGCCCCCTGGTGCTCCCATTAGCTGGGATTCCAGGACTCCTGCAGCGGAAAGCCAGCACTGGCACTCCAACCTCACAGGGAGAGGGCATGGGGATGAAGTGCTAGCAAGGGCTCCCTACTGCAGGAGAGGGAGGCACCGAGCCCATGGCCCACGGGCAGGATGGGTTCAGAACACACTTAGGCTACGTCTAGACTGGCATGATTTTGCGCAAAATCTTGCCGCCTGTCTACACTGGCCACTTGTATTTGCACAAGAACACTGACTTTGTAATGTACAAAATCAGTGGTTCTTGCGCAAATAGTCCGACGCTCCCACTCAGGGATAAGCCCTCTTGTGCAAGTATTCTTGTGCAAGAGGGCCAGTGTAGACAGCCACATTTATTTCTTGCACAAGAAAGCCAAATGGCTAAAATGGCCATTGGCGTTTTCTTGCTCAAGAGAGCGTCTTCACTGGGCACGGATGCTTTTGCGCAAAAGTAAATCTTTTACGCAAAGGCACATGCCAGTATAGACGCTCTCTTGCACAAATACTTTTACCGGAAAAACTTTTCCAGTAAAAGTATTTGCGCAATAGCTTGCCAATCGACACAGCCTTTGAGAACCACTGGTTTAGGTTTAAAACAATGAGCGACGCAGCCTTTGAGAACCACTGGTTTAGGTTTAAAACAATGAGACCACTTCTGAAGCAATTGTACCTGATGCAGATTCCCTGCAATGCCCAAACTTATGATGAAAGTTCAAGATCTTGCTGGTATCCTAGCTGAATAGGTTCTAGAACAAACATATAACACTGGCACGAGAGGGCCGAATCTGTTCAAAACTGAGACCTTTGGGGCTACGGCAGTGTGATTCCAAGCGTGACTGCCAAAATGCATTTAGTGCTCTATTGTTGCTGTGCAATTGTACAAAGAACTCGCCTGCACATCCCGCGATCCGATACTGGTGGATGTTGTGGAGCAGACTCTAGGAAAGTTCTTCATGATGCAACTTCAGACCTAAAGCCCTGATGCCAATGTTTGAATGCTACATGTCTTAAACCAGTCAGTGCCTTTGATGTTTTTGAAATTAGAACATGAGCCTTGAATTAGCACTTAGCCTGTTTCAGAGTTACTAAGTGGTGTGGCATTGACGGGCAGTAAGTAATGGTATGACAGTTGGTCTATATAGCTTTCGCTTACTTGAAAACTAAACATGAAAAATAGGTCAAGTTGTTTGCCATAATAAATGTCAAACAGTTGCAAGAAAACCAGATGCTGTTAGGCCAAACTAAAAGGTCATGTAATATGCAGAAATCATGCTTGATAACAGAAGCTGTAGAACTGGAAATTAATAGGTGGACAAAATGAGAGACTGGGCTATTCCAGTCACCATTTATTCACTTTGTGGGTCCTTAAAGAGATTTTCACACATGAAAAGATGAAGGCTACTGAGACAAGCTTCACCATCAGGGGATGTCAGTAGATTTTCGCACATGGAAAGATGAAGACTACTGAGACAAGCTTCACCATCAGGGGATGTCAGTACCTCATCTGTAATGCTGGGACTTCAGCACCAAATAGGTCAACTGAAAGGGCTGCAGCACCAGTGCTGGGTGCTGGGACACAGCACCAACTAGGTCAACTGAAAGGGCTGCAGCACCAGTGCTGGGCCCACAGTGCTGAATTAAGCTAACCCAAGGAGACACAGGTACCTCAGCACCATGCTGACAGTACTAGAATCTTGGCCCCAAATAAGATTGACACAAATTTGGAGACCTTAGTACTGGCTGGCATCTGTTGCTGGCTGTCACCTGGGCCCTGTTGCTGGGCTTTACCCAGACAAAACCAGGCAGGTGGCTGTGACGTAAGAGGGAAACATTGCCACTTAAGGTCTAACTAATGTCTGCAGTTTATATTGGCCTGACACATTGCCGAATGTAGTTGACTGGCATGAAGAACCCTCCTGCATCTGTAGGGCTATATTAGGCTCCTGCAAGTCATCCAGGACATCTGTGCCTGATGGTACCATTTCTTTATTGTTCAAACTGAAGCATCAGTGCTAGCTTGTACTCGGACCTTTTAAGAAAGCCTGCCTCCTCCATTCTCCCCCAAAAAAGCATCATCAAAAGGGAGGGGGGGAAAAAACCAAGGAAAGCATCAAGGATAGTGCCCCTTCAGTGGTTAAAAGGAAGTGAAAGGCACTTAGGGACCCTCCTTTTAGACCCTTGGAATCCTCCCTGGAGGAGAAGGGGTAACTGGCTTCAACAGATACCTCTCACTAGAAACATTCTGCAGCTTGATGCCAGGTACTACAGATTACCAGTGGGAATAGGCAGTGGGAGTTTAAAGAACAGCGAGTTTAGTGTGTGGCCATTTTTAGAACACCACTCTCCATGGCTGGGCATTAAAGGAAGCCCCGTGCTTTATTTACTCATTGCTCCAATGTCCCTGCCCAGCATTACCTTTCTAATTATGTTGCTTGGTGCTGCTCCCCTACTCTTCCCCCAGGTGGTGGCATCTGAGAGAGTGCATAGGGAGCTTGTAAAGTTCTTTAGGATGAAAGGTTACATTATGCTAATTAAACATAAACCCCGTGCACGCCCATAGAGAGAGTGAGTTTTATTCTACTTGTGGAGTCCTTCGTTATACAGAAATGATAGTTTATTTCAACCAATAAACAAGAGTGACAGGTAGATCACAAACTGCATCATAGCTACTACCGGTACTGAGATGGTTCACCCACGAGTCTGGGGCAATACAATAACGCAACTGTACACAGCAAGGAATTTAACAATCAGCTCAAAAACTCAATGTCAGGATTCAGTTAATTTGTTGGGTGTATATATATATATTCCTACTCAAGTATTTGCTAAAACCCACATGGAAGCACAAATGGCTTAAAACACCTGACATATATATATCTTGATCTTATATATATATTTATAGATATTTATATAATAGGATATGTGTCTCATAACTACAATATACTTGTTTTAATTCCTTTAAGCAACTGGAAAGAAAAAAAAAACAGTTTCACTAGAGTCACATCTGACGTGTGTATGTCACAAACAACAACAGAACAAGCCATATGAGAGATGCAAGTCAGACCATTCCAGGACAGAACAGCTAAGAGGCAGGCAAATATTCTCAGAGGGAGCAAGGCTACATTTCAAATGGTGGCTTTGGACTCTCTGGGCGGGAGGGACTGGCCTTGCCTGGCCGGCTGGAATTTAAGAAAGACACAAAAGAAAAAGAATAAAAAAAGGAAGAGAAAGGGAAAGGGGGAAGGAAAAAGCATTAAAACAATAATTCAAACATGGACAGGAACTAGCACCCAAACCTCAGGCAAAATGGATCCATCACAGAAGTCAAAACCAACAATACTAGAATAAGAGAACTTAAATCGGAATCAGAGATGGTTCAAAGCCTGCAGGGTGAATGCTTCTTTTGGCTTCCACCGAGCCACAACATCTGAGGTGCACTAGATCAATATACTTTTAATACTCTTTTTTTTTTTTTTACACATATAACATTAAAACGAAAGTACCCAAGTTAGACGAGTCATGGTCTGCAGTGGTTACAAGTTTCCTCAAACACGTACCATCCGCATGCAAGAAGAATAGGTTATCATAATTATCACATTATCAAAAAAAAACAAAAACGAAAAACAAAACACTGAACAAGAAATGTGCTTTTTTGAAGCAGAGATATTTGCAATAAAACATTATTTAGCGAACTCCCTGAAAACTTTTGCTTGTCTGTTTGCAAAGGGGGAGCATCACATCTGTTCCCCACAGTTTCTGGAAAGTCAGTTGCAGGCAGTTATGTGACACAGCAGCTGGCAGAGGCCAGCGGCTTTCCATCAGCCGCATTTTCTCAGCTACTAGGGTTAGCTGTGGACAGGTTGATCCATCTGCTCCGTGAACTCTGAGGCGTGTGTATATGAGCTATCTCAGACTTTGTTTTGGAAGGGTTACACCGTTCAATAAAGCTCCCCCCATCTTGCGCTCCCTGCCTTCCTTTGAAGTGAGGTTCATTGCACTGTTCCTAACAATATATGAATTTTTGCACCTTAATTCAAGCCCACACACTGGACATTTCACCTTTGTTACCAATAATGTCACACATTTTCCCAGTATCACTTATTCTTCTGAGTTGCGCTTTGTCTTCTTTACTACAACATAAGAAAATACCTACAGAGCTATAGATTAGTTCTAGGTGCTGAGACACTACAGCTAGCCAATGCAGGCAGGACACATTGTTCAGGCTAGCCCAACCAGATGGAGTACTTGGCTAGGTAGTTGCCATTTGGGGTTAAGGATGCCCCCACAACTGATCACTTCAAGGAGCCTGTGTCCTTCAAAGTCCCACGCCAGTGAATGGGGACTAGTCTATGCTCACAAAGCAATACAGGATGCACAAGAGAAGACGAAGAAGCGCTCAAACACTAGCTTGCGTTTTATAACACACCAGGAGGGGGTAGTGAACGGTAAGGGGTGGGATGGATGAGAGGAGCGAATGTGCCTGTGATAGGTGGTAGGGGGTGGGAAAGCCGCGGGTACGGTGCTTGTCACCAGCTGTCTACAGGCCTTGGATTATAAATCTAAGAGGGACGGTTCAGCTGGTCGGATTATGGTGGGTCGAGTAGGTGAGGCAGGGCCCTTCCTGCTGTGAAAAAGCAGAAGAAAACAAAAAGAAGAAGAGAACACACACCGTGGTTAGCATGGCAGTCACAGTCACAATCACACATGCTTCTCCACCTCATTGGAGCCAGTGGGAGGCACCAAAGAAAGGGGACCTTAGTTTGGAGAAATGGGTTCCCCAGAGCATCAGTAGGATTCCATAGAGAAGTCTTGCAATTTTAAACTCAGCTTAACATTGGCTACTCTGGTCACTACAGCTCCCTAATAGTAATGAGGAGGAATTAATTGCACAGCTATTATCGCCTTCCAGTGGGAAATCACAAAAACACAAAGGCTAATTGCCAGTGACTGCACAGGCACCTGAATGAGAGTCGAGAAGCATGGACACAATAATAGTGAAGCAAGTGAACGTCAGTCACACCGTGTGGACAGTGCCCTCTGGGAGGCGCTGTCTTAGAGGCTGCTGGCTGGTTTGGAGAGGCACCCTGCCCCTGCACTAAAGAAGGTGACAGTCTGCAGATTTCAGTTCTCAACAGCTAGGGGCATGTTTGAGATTAGCTACTGAAATAAGTGTGATCCTTTGGTTTGTACAGTCTTGGGGCCCAACAAATGAGACCCCCATTGACTTATTTGGTCTTTGCTGCTTGTGATGTGATTTCCTTAATATTGTTCCAAGCATTTTTATGTTGCAAGTATTTTAATAAGTCGATTGGGCAGAAATAAGATCTAAGTGGAAGGGCACAAACTTCATCTTACAGGACTGGCTTCCTCTAGGGGTCACTCTCATTCACTTTCTCTCATCTGGGTAAATGAAGTGGAAATTAAAAGGATAACCTCAACTTGAAAATATCGGAGAGAAGGAAGATTGTACATAATCTAAACATGGTTAGAAATTGACAGACTTTTCCCTCAATGAAAATTGTTTGTATATTTTTATTTAAACACCTTGCCCTGTAATGTCTGCAACCCAAACTCAACAGCATCCTGGAGGGCAAGAGGCCGGGAAAATGAAACTGATCGGCACGTGGCAAGACTAGTTTCATTGTCCAAGATGAATGAAACGCAAAGAGCAAACGAATAGGATGTGGGTGAAAGTAAATGAGCTTGATACCATTCTGTCTAACAGTGGTTGTGTCGGTAAAATACAGAAGGAAATCTTGTTGAATTTGCACCTACTGGCTACTGAAACTAAGGCCCCTCTGTACTGAGAGTAGTTGTACACTCTAAATCAGGGCTACTCAACTTTGGAAGCCCCGGGGGCCACGATGATACTCAGCACATGCCGAGGGTCGCAACTTAAGTGTGGTGGCATATACATGCAAATATATGCAACTAGCTTATTTCACACTGACGGGCATGAATACAAAGCATGTCCCACAATGCCCCAGCACTCCCTGCACCTCCTCTCTGGGGGTAGAAACACCAACACCCTGTACCCCTTGCGTCTTTCAGTGCTCACCCCGCCTGGGAGATGCCTTGCCTTTGTGGAGCATGTTCCCAGTGGAAGCCATGTTCAAAGGATCCCCCCCACATGTCATGTGTTGAGCCCCGCATAAAACCAAACCACATGGCAGGCCACAAATGGGCCCGCATGTTGAGTAGCCCTGCTCTGAATCATTCCAAACTCTGTTTTGCAGAGGTGCAGACTGCTGTAAATGTATTTTCAGTAGCTGATGTAGTTCAACTGGTGTGAATTTCTTACAGTCCAAACAAGTAGTAATTAGAACCAGAACATTTCATTCCTAATTAACAGAAATAAAGCCAAATTCAGTCCCAGTGTCAGCAGGCACATTTCCACTGAAGCCAAGGGCATTACAACCGCCTATGGCAAGGTGAAATTTGACCCTTTGTTTCCTGCTTGTGGCACTGTTAGGCCATTACTACACTACAGTGGATGCAGGAGCAATGCTATGGCATTGCAGCTGTGCTGCTATAGTGTAGATGGTTCTCACATCAACGGAAGGAGTTTCTCCATTGATGTAGATCAGGGATAAGGAACCTTTTTAGATCAGGGGCTGCTGATCCACGGAAAAATCAGTTGGGGGCTGGGGGTTGCATGGAGGCAGCGGAGGAGTTAGAGTGCCAGTGCGGGCTCCCCAATGCTGGAGGGGAGTCCCTAACCCTGAGGGGCCAGATCCAGGCAACCCAAGGGCCACATTCGGCCCCTGGGCCTTATGTTCCCCACCCTCATGTAGGTAATCTACTCGCTATGGCTACAGCTACAGCTTTCCGGCTTCTTCCGGAAACACTTATGCAAATGAAGCGTGGCGTGGAATATCGTCACGCTTCATGCGCATGGTTAATTAACAGCCGCTTTTGCGCAAGCGCAAAAAGGAGCTGTGTAGACGGCTCCTTTTTGCGCAAAACCCCCCTCTTGCTCAAGAGCCGTTCTTCCTCATTTTTTCAGGAAGAACGGCTCTTGCGCAAGAGGAGGTTTTTGCGCAAAAAAGGCACCGTCTACACAGCTCCTTTTTGCACAAAAGCCTCTTGCGCAAAAGCGGCTGCTAATTAATCATGCACATGAAGCGTGACGATATTCCACGCCACGCTTCATTTGCATAAGCTTTTCTGGAAGTATTCTTCTGCTGACCTAGCTGTGTCCACAGTGGGAGCTAAGCTGACCTAGCTGTGTCTCTCAGGACATGATATTTTTCACAGTCCCATAGCGATGTAGCTAGATTGAAGCTGGATTGATCTAATTTTCAGGTGTAGACCAGGCTTACTGTACCACTTGACGCTTTTTTGAAGAAAGTGCAGAACACTGTGGTTTTTCTTTGATTCTGCAAATCTATAATGCAAGAGAAGCCATCACTTCCTAGGCTGTCATGCATAAATTGCTCTTCAAGTAAACCAACATAAATGACTGGAATGAGTTAACTGAAGAATAATTCAATACCATTGCGAGGCAGTTAAAATGGCACCTTTATACGGAGGAGGAAAATGAGTGACAGAGAAGGGACAGCCATTGGGGAGGTATGTGGTACTGGCCTTCTTGATGCATTGGGAGTCTGTGTGTTATCTGCTATAGTTGCTCACCTATGGCCTTACCCAAAGCCCACTGAAGTCAACTCCCATTGACTTGAATGGGATCTGGTCAAGTCTTTAGCTATGTGCTCTTGCTCTGTGCCACTTGTAAGTTAAAAGGCATCTATTCAAAAGCTCAGAGATCTGTTTGCATATCATGTGCTTAGACAGATTCTCTTCATAGTCTCATCAGATATGGATAGAAAAGGGTTTGAAATCACTGGAAACAAGTCACTCTGGCACGGACGATCCACACAGCCCTAACAGAGCACGCAGATTTGAATGGTGAATTGAAGTAAGAGATGTGCTAATGTTCTTTTGCAGATTGTGTACGAAGTACAAAGATGGTCTCATAGAGGGTTTGGTGTTGCTCTCTGCTTGTTTTTTACTTTTCTGCAGGTCTTGACTTTTCTCCTCTTTTCTAGAGGTCTGGTGAGACTGTTAAAGGATCTAGATGGTGACATCAGAGGCTGAAAACTGCCTCTCAGCGAGAGTCTCTGCCTATTGCCAGCGTCTTTAGGGACAAGAGAGAAGTTGGGTGCTGGAGGCTAATGTGGAAACAGCAGAGACTCTTATGAGTCTGTCATTATACCATTAAATTCTGCTCTCTTGGCATTCACTGACAAATCTCCTACTGCCTACAATGGGAGTGGAATTTAGCCTAAAATGAGCAAGAGGGGGCACAAACCAAACAATTGTTTTGTTTGCTTTTCACTTGCCCTTTCAAACCATATTCAAACTTAGATCTTTATCATTTCTAGGACATGAGAGGACAGCACACAAATCTGGGTGAGAGAGGAAACACTTGGAGGGAGTCTGCTGAGCTGCAACAAGCTGCTGCTATCGATAGTCAGGATCAGAAAGGTTCCCCCCAACACCACCATCCTACATTAGCTTCCTTGGTGCTCTTTGTAAACCAGACCAAGGGCAGAGAAAGCCTCATAACAGCGAGTCCCAGAACAAAGCACAGACAACAGACAACCCTCCTATCTGAGACCCTCTCCAGGATGAGCATTTCTACTGGAGCTTCCCAACAGGTCAGCAGCAGGCAGGTGACGGGGGGGAACTGACAGAGGCCTGACAGAAATGAAGCCCTTGAAGCAAAACATTTACCACAGAACAGTCATGGTGTTGGTTCTCTGTGCTGTGGCACCTTTCCGCCCTCTGCCCAGCTACATGCAGCAATAAAACGGTCACCATTCACTATGGGACAGGAGCTGATTATGAACTCTGAGGGCTTCACCCAAGAGCACTGAGCACTTGCAACTCCCGTTGGTAGCTGAAGGTGCCTTGCTTAGTCAGGTCTAAAAAATTCAATAGGAGCTGCAGTTGCTCAACATCTTTCATGAGCAGGCCCATCTTGTAGAAAGATAATGCACATAAGGACAAAAGTGGGCCTTAGCACACATCTCTCTCCCACTCGTATCCCAAAGCTGTCCCATTCTACTCTCTCCCCCTTTCTCTTCAGTAAGGGTCAGCAGATCTCAGGGAGGACAGGTAAATTCCATTCAGGCCCACATCCTTCTTCAAGTTACATTCTTCCCTGTCAGTATTTACTCAGATGGAAAGTTCAGCTCCTGAGTGTAAGCCCAGCACAGTACACTATATACTTGATGATGGGCCACCTTGCTAATCTGGTGTTCAGCATATTTGCTGCTGCAAAGGGCGGGGAGAGTGCAAAAGAGAGAAGGACAGACAGACAGAGGCCCTGGAGCAGGGTGAAGGTGGGACATGGCCTGCGGCATTCACCCCCATTTTGCACGTGTAACCCATAACCAGAGTCTGCTGGTGTTATAAGACAAGAGCATACTTGGAACACTGGCCATCTGCATGTGGAATCCAACCTGGAACCTCTGGAGCTTAATGCATAAGCCTCTACCACATGAGCTGAAAGCCAGTTGGCTCTCAGCCAATGCTGTAGAGCAGACTCGTTATTATGTAAGTGGTCTCAGGGCCACTAGATGGGACAACAGACCACACTCAGGTGTGTGGGTTACACATGGGAAGGAGAATGGGAAGAGACGGGACATTTGGCCAGCAAAACAGGAGAAGATATTGCTAGGGGATCAAGAGGAAAAATATGTGATGGATATTTATCTCTAATTGGGATCAGATGAAACAGGTTTATGGGGAGCATGTAAGGGCAGGATTACTCCATATTTGGGGGCCCCAGAACCTTGTCCTGCCTTCCATGGACACTAGATGGCAATGCAGGGACTACTTTGGGCAGACATGCTGGAATGTAAAACAAGCATTCAACCCACAGCTCCAGAAAGGCCATTGGGGCAGACAGGGATGGAAAAGACCGAGAGTTCATTCAGTCCATCTACCTGTCATTGCATGATTCAGAGAGACGCTGCTCCCACCCTATCCCCTATGCTCTCTCTCTTTCCCCTCTCTCTGAGCCCACCCATTCAAAGGTGAGGTTTTCTTTTCTCATATTTTTACTTTTTTTAAAAAGACAGTCAATTCCTGAGGCTTCTCCCAGCCTTCCTCCCACCTGCAGCTCTGAGCAAATGCTCCCTGTCTGACTGTCCAGCTTTCTGTGAAGACTCCTCCCGTCATGGGGACCTGGAAGAAGGAGATCTGGTACAAGTAGAGTATCAGGTAGGAGAGGTGAGCAACAGAGCAGTGGGAATGGAGGAGGGGAGACACACTGACTCATGCATCGCAGGGAGAGAGTGCGGAACATACCGTGGCTGCCAGTCCTCAGGGGTCACTGATAGTGATTCTGAAAGACAACACGAAATCAACATGGCAGTTCAGACAATTCAAGGCAGAAGCCGCACAGACAGTCAGGAAGGTGAGAGAATAAACAGACACTCAGCCTATAGGAGCACATTCGACACACTCACAGCCACATCTATACAGAAGAGTGCACGTCACATGCCTACACACACACCTGGCCACAGAGATGCATACATACCACCAAATTAAACAAAGTGCATGAATAGATATACACACATTTCTGTACATACAGATCTGCACACATCTGTTTAGAAGCATATGACCCTCACATATGCACACAAAGAGGCAGACAAATCTGTAAGAATATATACACACACACACACAGTTGGATTCACACAGTCATTAGCATATTCGCATGAGCACACAAATAGGCTTCTGCACACTTACACATATACAAGCAGGATTCACACTCTGACTTAAGCCACATCAGCACATATTCACACAAGTGCCCATGTGCACTAAAGTACACTCACATGTGCTTAAACTAACAAACAGGATAGCAGGTCTCAGGATTTGGCTGGCTGTCTATCACAATTCACTTGAGATCCAGGCTTTCTAATGATACTGCAACACTAACTAATATACCACATTTAATCGAAAGAAACAAAGCCCATGAGAAGCAGAAAGCAAGAAGGACTAAAGTGCACTTCTGGGTCTTCGGTACCAGACTGGAGATGAGGAAACAAGGACATAACTTAATAGATTTTAAGGCTAGAAGAGACCATCAAATCATGACCTCCTATGTAACTTAGGTTGCAGAATTTCATTCAGTTACCTCTGTATTGATCCCAATAACTTTGTTTGACTCAGGCATATCTTCTAGAAAGGCACCTCTATTTGATGATGATGCTCTTTGAAAAGAACTTTTTAAGATCTGTCCATTAGCCAGTTCTCATTAATCTACTTAGCATGTATTCTATTGATATTGTACAGTGTGAGTTTTACAACCAAAATATCATGCTGCATAAACCAAATGTTTTACAAATATCTGAGTATATTACATATATGCAAGTTAACTGTATCAATCAAACTTATCTCAACAAGAATGAAATCACGTTTGTGTGACAAAAACGATTTTCTGCAAATTAGAACTTTCTGCACGGATTGTTGATGCTCAGAGCACATGACCTTCATTGCATGGTCAGAGACTTTAGAACTGTTTCTAATGTACTTAGATAAATAGCTCCCAAGGGTATAGGTAAGTATGGACTTATCCAGGAGACTGAAGGACCAACTGCTGAAGTCCTCCACCCAGGGGGACTTAATCAAAAGGAAAGAATCCTGCTTCTTTGATGACTTCCTGTTCAAGAAAATGGGCAGTGGAGATATTTGTGTGTGCTAGCACATGCTCAAGTGTCTGAGTGTATGGGGCAAAGTATACTCTACCTCACCAGCCTTGACTCCAGATGTTCATAAAAGCCAGATGGAGATGAACACATACACATACAACAGGCATATGCACATACATCCATTCACATGCACAAGTACACCCAAACATACACGTCTCACTTCCCATTTTTCTCATTGTACTCATTCCCATAGCAAGGGCCACTCACACTATAAAGATAACAAGTTCCACTTCACACGCTTATGGCACCCTGTGTGATCCATCCAGTGAGGGAAAGATGGGTATTAAAAGAAAAGCAATGATGGAGATGGTACCCGTTCACCCATGGCAGGAAGACTCAAGCTCAGTGCCAGCAGGGAACTTTCTTATTCTATATACAGAGGAGGGAGAACGGTTGCCATCTGAGTTCCCCGGTGATTGGAGAATCCCAAATGGCAAACATGGTATAAGGGCACGGGAGGAGTCTATGAACAGCTGGAAGGATGGAGGAACTGGGGAGAGAGAATGGGAGAGAGAGAGAGAGAAAGTGTGAGTGAGTATTGCTTCACTACACCCTTCAGAACTACTGCAGATGATACACCATTTCCTGCTCCCTCGCCAGGGCAAGGCAGAGTGGACCTGTTCAGTCAGACATTTCAAGCTTCCTTCCTCTAGTCCAGTGTTGTTGTTTTGCTCTGTGCCTCTCTGCTCCACACAGACGGAATCATCCATAAAAGCCTGATACAAAAGGGGACAGGGGTAGCAACGTAGGCTGGTGCAGAGGCAGGAGTTCAGCACATTTCAGGCTGTTTGGGGGCTCCTACCCGGACAGCCAGGATATATAGAATATTTTCCGAGAGTGAGGAAATGAAGCACAAGGCATGAAAGGCAGATGGAGAAATGTGGGAAACACACAAAAAGTGAACAGAAAAGGAGTGGCATGTGGGGAGGTAGCAGCACAAGAAGCAAGAGCCAAAACTACACAGCTGAGGCATGCAGATATCCACAGGCACTACCAATGGTACTGCAAGCCCCTGGGAGAGGGCAGCAAAGTACAAGTGGCTGGGTCTGGGTCCTTGTGGGAGCAACATCAATGGGTAGAGGAAAGGCCAGGGCAAAGGCACTGAGAAGGTGCCAATGAATCAATAAAAACTGAGCTGCATCCTCTTCGGACTCATCCGCTCCTGCTCCTGTCCTGGGCTGGATCCAGAACCTGTCAAAGAACTCTCTCTCTCTTCACCCAGAGAGTGAAGGCATTATCACAGGGGAAGGACCAAGCAGCCTCTAACATGTACCATCACCACCCATCAAAGACAGGGTGTTATCACAGAAGAGGGAACTGGGAAGCTTTGACATACACCATGAACACCCATCAGAAACACGGTGTTGCAACAGAAGAGGGCCAGGCAGCCTCTGACATACATGATCAGCACCCATCAGAAACAGGGCATTATCAAAGGAAAGAACTTCCTTACACACGCAGAAGAGAAGTTCCTGGTTCCTGGTGAATTATTCATTCACTGAATCATTCTACTTCTTTCCATTCCTCAGGCTGCAATCCAACACCGTAGGCAGGAGCCAACACTGAAATGACCTTGGTTCCAGCCTGGCTTCTTCCTAAAATTTCCTTAGCAGTGCACCTGTGACTCATTCCGGAGTGTCTAAGATATGCACAGGGTGACTGTACCCTGGGGGAAGATCCAGTCCTACAAAGCTTTCTTATGGGAATGTGAGTTCTGATGTTAGCTCTCTAGGGGCATGTCTACACTATGAAATTATGTCAAAATAACTAAATTTGAAATAATAACTCCCGAAATAATAAAATCGAAATAGCATATCCCCACTACAGGGGAGCCTGCAATTAGTCTGAGGCAGGCTCTGTGGATGCGCTACCTTGACTTAGAACCCCAGGAAGCACGAGGAGTAATTACTTCAAATGACTTTGGGAAGAGTCGTTTCGAAATAACAACACCAGAGTGTCCACACTAACACTATTTCAAAATAAGTGTTATTTCCAGAGGAAAGCAGGAGTACAGATTTCAAAATAACCAGCCCGTTATTTTGAAATAACAGGCTAGGTAGTGTGATCGCTCCCTTTATTATTTAAAAACAAGGGGGGTTATTTCAAAATAACTCCCTAGTGTAGACCTGGGCTAGGTTAGAAAGTACCCTTGGCACTTGGGGTTAACTGTGGGGGTGATAAGTGTGCTCCTAAGGGAAGCCCACCTCCCAAACACTTATTCTTATTCTATATTCCTAGCCAGCTGGCCACTGGTACCAGAAGCAGCAGCCATGTTGAGTAGGAAATTCATCCACATATCTTAGTGGAAGTCCTTTCTTCCTCTCCTTAAAACACACTGTATCAGGAGAAGAGAAAGAGCTCACACACTGGGGCTCCTTGATATTTTCCTCATTTCCACAGAACACGTACAACTGTTGATGCCTATCTCACCCCACTTCAGACACTTTTGTTTCCCACTGATAAGTACAAGTACCAGTATTACTACTTTGACTTGGATTACCATGTGCAACCCGCTGTGACGCAAGGTCCCTCCCAAACCCTACATGCAGTTTTTGGCGGGGAAGAGGACATCCCTCTGTTTCAGACAGCTGCCTCCTCACGGTCTCCCCTGAGAAAATGAAATTTCAGCACTAAAAACAAATAAAGGAAGAAATGTTCCCAACTGCAGAACTGATTCAAACATATGGGCTGTGTCTACACTGGCACGAATTTCCGGAAATGCTTAAAACGGAACAGTTTTCCATTATAAGTATTTCCAGAAAAAGA